CCTGAGCTAACGAAAACTCCCCCCACATCCACACGGCCAAGACGGGCGCTGCGTGTGTCAGCACAGTTCACCGCTTGTATAACCTGGACACCCCTGCGATACATGAGCACCAACACCACTATCACCTCCTCAAAATGCTAACCTGCCTTTTTTTCTGTGTGTGAGGACATTAAAATGTGGTGAATGGAGGAGCTACTGGCCACACATAAAACCCCCGACAGGTTCTCCATTCACAGCCATAGCCACAAAGCGGATAATGACTTCCATAAAACTGTCAGGAGCGAAGAATAAGCGTGTATAGCATACACGGCCGTAATTCACACGTGCCTTTAAGTCGCTGGATGAATAAGATGAAATAGTTGATCAAGCACTGTGGAAATATTTATATGTTGAAAAAACTTCTGGGAATCACCTGGTGGCCTGAACCGTGGCCAGATTCAGGTTGTGTATGGTGCTGTGACAATGCTAATGCTAGCTTGGTCTGGACGACATTCAAATCTGGATAGCCGTTTTAACACAAAACATTGTACATATTTACCTCCTTCCCGCACGTTTATCATAGTTTACATTTCAACAATTCAATTCATCCATCCATCCATCCCTTTTCCGATCCACTTTTTCCTCACAAGGATCGCGCGGGGTATTGGAGTCCATTCCAGCCGTCTTCGGGCAGTAGGCAGGGGACACCCTGAACCAGTTGCCAGCCAATCGCAGGGCACACAAAGACGAAAAACCATCCGCGCTCACACTCACACTGAGGGACAATTTTGAGTGTTCAATCAGCCTGCCATGCATGTTTTTGAAATGTGGGAGGCAACCAGTGTACCCGGAGAAAACCCACGCAGGCACGGGGAGAACATGCAAACTCCACACAGAGCCGTGATTGAACCCACGACCTCTCCACTATGAGGTCGAAGCGCTAACTACTGGACCACCGGGTCGCCCCAATTCAATTCAATTCATTCCACAGCATTTCAATTCAGCGTCAGCTTTTCGGCATTCATACTCAATTTCGACATTAATTGCTTTCTCCAGTTGTAGTCCTTTTGACCTGGATTACAGCAACAAATTAATTGTGAATGCATGTACACTACAGAGGGAAAACATTGACTCATTTTCTCTTTACAAAGAAACGATTATTATTCTAATGCATAATCATTCAGATAAATGGAGCTTAATGAGATCTGTAGCTTTATTATTATAGCATCATCATTAATATGACACCCAAATAATAATAATTTTAAAAAGCCCCCTCCTCCCATAACCCCAAAATCTGATTTAGTGGGACATGAAAAGCAGCAGGCGGGTTTGAGCGAGGTTCTTTTGACAAATGAACACGACACACGAGGGGGGAAATAATTTGACAGGTGACAAATGTTGAGCAGCGATACAATCTGAGACGCGGGCCACCTGAAATATGGCTCACTCTATTAAAACCATTCACAGAGGATATTAAATAGTTCCTTAAAGACTTCAAACATCCGATGTGGTGCTTTTCGTGTTGGGCTAAATGTTTTGCGATTACGGTTTGCATAAGAACAATGTACGATTATCGGGAACGGATCGCTGCTTTGTTCGTCGCTTGGATGCCAATCCGAGCGTCGCCGTCATTGAGTTGTTCGATCAATCATTGCGTGAGATCATGCATGCTATATCGGCCATAAATAGTCACGTTCACTCGCCACTTTTCTGTTCTAAGACGAGAAAGGTGAAAGAGAAAAACGTACGTAAATGATTGCCCTGTGTTGAGTGGAGGAAGACCGTGGCGATCAGTCTTCATTAAGGCACATGCGGTTATCATATCAAGCTGAAGTGTCACAATGTTGCCGTTGGATGCCGAGTCTTTGTTGAAAATTTGGGGGTTTGTGTTATTTCATCTGTTAATCGGCAAAATTAGAGCTTTTGCGATACCCACAAACGAAATACTGATGTGGAATCACAGTCGGACTTTGTTCTTTTAACCTACGGGTCGGGTTTAACATTTCGGTGGAGGAATATGATGTGTGTGATTGATGACTTGCGAGTCAACATCAGATGAGTGTTATCCAAGCCGCAACGTTTTCTATGCCAACACAAACGTAACACACAAAGGATTCATGCACACAGAAGGTCAGATCTGTTCATTTAGTTTGAGCAAATGTTCCTAACAGTGTAGTTTGAATTTAATGCTGCAATTCGTTTCGTTGTGCTGTTCCTGTTTCTGTGCCCACTTTGGCCACCAGGAGGCAGTGTAATAGAAATGCACGGACACAAACAACTACTGTAAGTGACTCCGTAAGATGCTGTATTGTTAGTCTTTTTTTTCTGTGGCGGACAAGGAATATATGCCCGTAAGTATTGTTCTATAACCTCTGTTCATTTAGTTTGAGCAAATGTTCCTAACAGTGTAGTTTGAATTTAATGCTGCAATTCGTTTCGTTGTGCTGTTCCTGTTTCTGTGCCCACTTTGGCCACCAGGAGGCAGTGTAATAGAAATGCACGGACACAAACAACTACTGTAAGTGACTCCGTAAGATGCTGTATTGTTAGTCTTTTTTTTCTGTGGCGGACAAGGAATATATGCCCGTAAGTATTGTTCTATAACCTGTCTGTACTCTGTGTTGCTCCACCGCTTGTGTTCAAACATGCGCTGCTTCAAAAAAAAACCCCGCTTAATATTAATATTGAGTTAATATTAATATTCATGAGCATTAGAGAGGTCATAGCATTTACCAATATATTTTAGCATTAAGCTAAACAGACGTTAAGGCAAAGCTACCGTATGTGGTTGTTTTAAACACATTAATGTATAGTTGCCTTTGATTGATGTTTAGTTTGACAGTATTTTTTTTTTTTAATGTCTTGTTCACATCTGCCAAGCCGTTGCTTGTTTGAAGTGAGCCGAACGGACTTCAATGCCACAAGACAGCGTAAGGAACACAGGACGACGATTTTCAACATCTCGCATCAATTGCTCTCCACAAATACGGTCCTCATGTGTTTCTATCTGTATTATAATTTCAGTTGGGGGGGAAAAAAAGCGCCTAATTAGTCTTAGTATTGTTTTGTCTCTTTGTTTTAGTTTTTCAGAAGCCAGTGATTTAGTGTTCATGAATTTATGCAACAAGCGTGCCGAGCAGGTTCCACAGGCCATAACTCACGAGCCAAAAGTTGGCCTTATTTACATTGGACACAGTACAAACGTATTTCTCATTTTGTTGCGAGAAAAACATTCGCTGTAAATCCTCTTGAGAGTATAAGACGCAATAGCATACAGTTTAGGCCAGGACGACACTAAACAAAGAACAGAGTAAAAACATGTTTGCGACAATAGGATGCATTTTATTGGGTGGATCTTTTGTTAATATTTTTTTTAAAAAAAACATTCCCTGATAACATTTTTAGCAGCTTGTCGATAATTTGCACAAGGGCAACTCACTAAAGTTTTAACCGCTATTGTCTTGCGTGTATTTCAAAAGCATGTGGCAGGATGGTAATTAACAATACAAGTGTTTGTTTGTTTGTTTGTTGTTGTTGGGGGCGGGGGTTGGGTTAATGGATCACGTAAGGTTTTTCTCAAACCAAATGTTTTTTAACGCCTTTGGCAAGCAGCCTTTTGTTTCATTACGCCGCATCTTTATCATTTATGCATTGATGGGAACACAAGGTTTTGGGGTGAGAGACACTTATTCTCTAATGTGTTTCCCTTCATTCAGCCACAGGGCTCGGATTAATGGCTTCTTCTGTTCCCTACTGTTTGCATGTCTTGGGAAAATAACACTGAATTCTTTCGTAGATTCCAAAGACTTGGAGGCGAGCTACGTAATGCCTGTTCCCATTTGTTTGTATTTGCACCTGCTAGGAATTCTCCACTCGACGGAGTTCCGCAGGCGATTAAAGCAAACTGCGGATGTGTTACATATTTTCGATTGATCGTGGAGGTTTATTTAATTCAGTCGCTGCATATCCTAACTTGGAGCGGCAAGGGAAATCGTTGGAAAGTCAATAGGCGGAAGCGAGCAAGACAAAAATAATTGACTGCTTTCAAACTCCTGCGGGCAGATGAATAATAAACCAAAACAGCTTGCAGGGGTGTCTAAAATGGTTTGTTTGCAAATCCTTCACTCAACTACCCAAAAAGAGAAAAACATACAAAAAAAAAAAAACGTGCACACATGAAATGAAAAGAAAATGCGTAATGATAGAATATATATGAATAATGTTAAGGTTGGATTTTTTTGCTTGAGAGTACATGCTAACTTTGTTAGCTTCTGTACCAACTGGTCAAGAACAAACCAAGCTGTCAAATAAAAAACAAAAAGGTAACATGTCGTCTTGAAAATGACAAGCAGGGTTGTTTTAGTTTGACTGACATACTCAACCACGGCTAAAAACATTGAAGAAATAATAAAAACAGAAGAGGAGACTTGGTCACGGCAATTAGCTTAATTTTTGCTGAGTCATGTAACTCACTTCTTTTTTTTCTTCCTGATGGCTAAAAGGTTTCGGTGTAGGTGCGTGTCTAGAGAAACGATTTCAGAGCATAATTTCCACTATTGGAAGTTTGTCTGATTAAACAAAAAGTTGTTCATCACGAAAGAGGAAAAAAAAGCCATTTTAGATGGTGCTCGAGAGCTTCTGTGGACATAAAAAGTCTACACACCCCTGTTCAAATGTGAGCCTTTTGTGATATAAAATAATGAGACAAAGATAACATACTTTATGGAATCACGGCCAAAAATTCCTACCTTGATTTCAATTGAAATCTCCAAAACATATGTGAGGAAACGTGTTACGGTTCAATGAAATTACGGTTGAACTTTTTGGCCCAAAAGGTCATTTTGGCATAAACAGAAAAGAACACCAGAGCTCCAACCACAAGAAAGCAAGGGATTCCTGTATGTACAAAAGTTGTTCAGATGCTCATGGTCAAGTAAGGTTGGCCTTAGTGTTTGTGTGAGTGTGTGTGTGTGTGTGCGTGTGCATGTGTGTGTGTGCTTTTATTGTGATGGCGCACAAACCAGATGCAGTGAGGTGGAGCTCTTCCCCCAGGAGCCACCTCCCCGGGTGCCTGCAGGTCCACTTCCAATCTATTTGCCGTAATTGCCGTCAGAGTGTACACCTTGGAGTCGTCTAATTCCCTCTTTTATTTCAGCCACCATGAGGGAGACCATCTGTCCTCCTGCTGCCACCTCCCCCTACCCTGGGCCGCCGGGGTCTGCGCGAGAACACACACATGCGCGTGAACACAGATTAAAACACACACACACACACACACACACACACACACACACACACACACACACACACACACACACACACACAGGACCAACAGTTTTGTCCAAGACACCAGAGCTTGAATGCATCACACCTCAAGTCCCGCCAGAGTCACATGACTGCATGGAGCTTTTATGAGGTGCTCGTGAGGATGACCACACTGCTCTCAAATGGAAGATAAAAGTTGTCCAAATAATGAAAGTAAAGTGACACCGTTTCCCATCTGCTGATTTTTTTTTTTTTTTTTTGGTTCCACCTTATTCATTCCCAGAATCAGAGAACCTTTACGCACACTCAATTACAGCAGATCTCTGCTAAGGACATGCTCGGTTTCAATCACTGGGATGGAGACGATTTTCGAAAGCCAAAGCGTGTACTTGTACAGTACAAGGGTATCGAAGAAATGCCCAAACGGCTTTCCGTACAGGCGCTCACCTTAACCTCCATTCCCTCCCCACAAATAAAAACATTGAATCAAGTGGCATGAATATTGCACAGTTTAAAAAAATGATATTTTCATATGGGCACTGCCTCCCTGCTCTCTTCCTTCTTCGTCTTTGTTTGTGCCTCTCGCGTCCGGAGCGCCGCTGATTTAAATACCATTCCATCTCATTAACATGCGCAGATAGAGCCGCGAGGGCCAATTACATTCATCTTGTCATGTGGCCGGGCTTTCGAGTCATTAATATTTTATGGCAATCCGCTCCCCCCGGCCACCGAGGCAACACACCAGTGCTCTTACATTATTCTGCAGCTCGGGACAGCGCGGCAGAAACATCCCCCGAATACACACTCCAGCAGGTCATGACAACATAAGCATGAAAAATGATTGCACAGAGAGGAGTGGGGGGAGGGGCTTGCTGCAAATACACAGATGAGATCTGGAATGATTGTTTGATTATTACCAGCTGACAGAAGCGCAGAAATAACAGTGAGGAAATATGTGAGCGTTGCTTAATGTCAACAGTGTCTCCACTGAAAGTGGTGTAGTCAAGACAGAAGATTCCGTCCAAAACCCTTCCAGTGCATTGTATCATTATTTTGAGCATATCAAACGATGAAAGTAAAATATATATATAATTCCTACAGAAAGCCATGACAACAAAAGCAATTTTGTTCAGATAACTGAGTTCAATGAAGAGGATTAAATTGTACAAAATAGCCCGAGAGGCAGCTATAGAGGTTCCAGGGGGATCTCGGGTTATTTCGTGATGGCTGAAGAAAAGAAGCAATTGCAGGGGAAAAAAAAAATTCACAAAAGGAGGTAACCCTGTAAAGTAGCTGGATTGGCAATACTACAGATATTCATAATCTCTACTAATATAGAAGTTGAGATGGTATTGCTTTCAAACTAAGCATAAAATAAAGACAATTACATGTTGTGGATTGAAAACAACCACATGCCTTTCCCGTTCGGTTCATTAACGTAGTGCCATGGAAATGTGCCACAGTTGGAATGATTTAAGGAACAGATATTTAAACAAACGGTGCAGCAAGCTATAGAGACAGACAATATAATAATACTCACATGCATGTATTCTTTATCTTCTGCAAACAAAATAACAAATAGTACCGCATCTTACTAATTTACTAACACTAATTGAGTAAATTCTTCTTCACATCTGCCTTGACTTCATTATACAGTTCCCCAGTGGCCAAGTCACACACACTCGAAGGAGCCATAATGAAATTATCATGATGCACAAACTGTTTAATTATTTACTTTGCGTTTCATTACATTTTTTAGACAGGTTTTTAGAAAGAACAATATTATAGAATGCTATTTTCCATATTATTGAACGGATTAATGGCATTTCCAAATGCCACAAAAGAGTAAATTACATGTGAACTTGCTGTTTCTTGTTCTTGTGCAAGTTGAACTCAGATAGTTTGTGACTTGAAACAAAATTTGCCTAAATTTGGACGGAAATTTATAATCCGGTGTTCATAAACAGTTCCACTGCATATTATGCAGGTGGTTCAAATGCCATGGCGGCAGCGTAACAGATGCTGTGGCATTTTATTCCAGCCATATGCATTGCCATATGTAGGGAACTAATACCCAGGGCAATCATCACACAGAAATCTATAGCAGGGGTCTGTGTAATTCCTCTAATGATTTCTGTAATGAAAGCAGCCAGTCTTCAGAACGGAGGCCACTGCGATCCGCTGCAGCAAGCAGGGGGAGCCTGAGGAGACAAGCTCAACGCCACACTGAATGGCAACAGCAGCCTTTTGCTGACGTGCCTCCTGGCTCCGCGGCGACTCAACATGGAGAGTGATGTCCGTTTCCTGACAAATAGGCTGCGCTGCCATTTGTATGGAGCGACTCCGCTCAGCAATGTGAGGGGGAAGAGTCACTTAGTGGGACAATTTCCCCACGCAGCATGATCCTCTCGCTCCATCTCAGGACCAAAAATTACATTCAGCAGAATGAATTTGAATCCATCCACACCCATTCTTTAACAGACATAAAGTGTACTTAACAGAAAGTAAACATATCAAACTTGGAGTATATAAATGATGCCAGACTATCTATCCAGCATGCCACTTCATATGATTGTATAGATGGATGGATGGATGGATAGATAGATGGATAGATGGATAGATGGATAGATAGATAGCTAGCTAGCTACTCGATCGAGTTTATCTATCTTAATTAGCTAGGTAGAAGGCTAGATAGATAATCAGGATAATACGTACATTAGCTAGATAAAAAATACATGAGCTAAATAAAATAGATCAGCGAATAGATTCGATAGATCAGTTAGCTAGCTAGCGGAACTGGAAATGATTCCACCTATACAAATTATTTGGAACTGCTCCCATAAAACACCCAAAAGTGCAACACTTTCTCTTCTGTGATACAAGGCCTAAAAAAATACTGGGTACAAATAACAGATACATAAATGTAATAAAGAGTAATAACTCTAAAATCTTCTGCACATTACTCATGTGTCTTATCTGTCGTGTCAAAGCAAGGCAATCCTCATATGTCATTTCTCAAAAAGCCCGTTTTAGTAAAGCGCAAGAGGAATGTGTGCACATCCGCATTTTGCATATCAACAATCTCCCAGCTGACAAATGTTAGCTTTAATAAAACCACAAAGCGAAGATGGGGATCGGGGAGGGGGTAAGCCTAGACAATTTACCAGGAAATGAAAACGTGGAATTGTCTGTGGGAAACATCAGAATCATCCTAATCATTTGTCAAACCGTGATCTATATCTTCACTCCAGCTCACATTGTATAAGCGCTCTGAGTAGCGTTCATTGTTTTCAAACTTTGAGATCTTTAGCGCTCTGTCAGCATCTTTCCAAAAAAAAAAAAAAAACAGTTTTATGCTCATTAACATTTGCATAACCCACTGATGCACTCAGCACAGTTCAAGAAGACTACGGAAGATTAAACATAGACAACAAGAAAACACGATGAGTAATATGTTCATAGCATGTCATCTTTAGATCAGGAATTTTCATATCAAATTAAACAGCAAAACACTTCAATGAAAACTCTTACTGTCGGATTGAACGCTTGGAACATCTTCAGCATCCATAAAAACTCATGTGACCGATTTTGACAAAGATTGTCTTCACGAAATTTTCAAGGAGGGGACCACTTGACTGTGCTGAAAAAAATTCAGACAGAATCCATTAATTGATTTCAACTCGACTTTCAGTAAGTAACCCACGACAAATGATCTCAAGTCATTCAACCCCCAAAGGCAAAGTATTTTTGGGTGCAAAATTGTTGACTAATAACTGCAAACAAAGAGTATACGGCTACACGGGTTACTCTGTTTTTGCACACCAGGTCTTCTTTTAATTGGTAGAATGAAATGATGTGGCCAGTCTGTGTTCCTATGCAAATGTAAGACGACATAGCTGCTTTTAACACATCTCATGCAGAGAAGAGCCTTATATGTGACGGTAATCACCACCAAAATAAAATCTAATAGACAGTAACAGATTTGTGCGTTACTTTTAACCTAACATCATCAACCTTGTCTCAGTCTCCTGACACCTTCTGAGCACTGCAAGGAAAAAGACCCCGTGATGAGAGATCGAATACGCCAGAAAAGATATAACCCCTTCTCGCTGGTGGAGCGGCCTATTAAAAGGACCAAATGGCGTTGAATAGAAGTAATACAAACTGGATGCTTCGGTCAACTACTGTGGAGGAACACGTTTAAATATGTGATAATGCAATGTTGAGAATGGATTGTTTTGGAGTTGTTTTAACCCTTACAGGGAGAGCGGTAACTACAGTGGATATCTAACCATGTTATCAGGTTACAGTGTGCATGAAAAAGTTCATACGGAGTCTGAAGCATGTATAAAAAAAAAAAACCTTAATAAATAGTCACAACAGAGACTCTTGGGCTATTGTTCTAAAACATTTCCCTCTTCTCCAGTGGCTGGTTTTCTCTGAACTTTAGCTATATATGCCCAAGCTATTGTTCTTGGTCCTTTTCCAGGATATTTGGCACAGAAATGCCGCGTCTCGCCTTTAATAGCTCCATCTGTACCATACCCATGGCGATACTTTCCTTCATGCAGACCATGCAGATAACATGTGGTAGGGCACTTCAACTAAAGAAGCAAAGCAGACTTTTTTGGGGGATTAGATGTCCGTAGCAGATAATGCGTGATACCCTAGGCTGAAGCCGTCTGCCATGTTTACCGACCGGGAAGGGAGTTTGCGTTGTTGGCCAGCCATCTGGAATGCGTTCCTTCATACCTGCGTGTGATCCATTCGGATGCGACCAGCACTTGATGGTCTGCGTGAAGGTGATTTCCACTCTCGGCGAAACTAATCTAAAGACCGTCAAGCAACAGATACTTTGATTTGAAAAATCACATCGTTTAAAAATTGGATTCTCACGCACGTGCGTACTCATGGTGAACTGCTACTACAGGATCATTCTCGGCCTCATGAGAA